TGATCATTTTTTTATATATTAACTGAGAAATTCTTTTGGTATTATAATCAACCTAAAAATTACTCCTGGGCCCTCCCTGGTGGCGCAGTGGGTTAAAGCACTGCACTAAGAAGCTTAAGCCAATTCCACATGAGTTCGATCCCCGCCTGCCCGGGAGGAGATCCACATGGCGTGGCAGACCTCTCCTGACCCACCGCTGCTCCCCTCAGCAGTGTACTTCGTTGATCTGCCTGTTCTGCTCCTCACTCTGTCTCTGGTGAATCCTCTCACCCTCCACATCTCTGGCCTGTCCCCCAGTTCTGTACGAATAAATAAATAAATCTTTAAAAGAAAAATTACTCCTAGTTAAAAATATGAACTGTTTTTATTTCAAAGGCAGCTATAACCGAAAAAGATAAGGTGAGAATATGCCTAATTAATTAAACTAGAATTCTGTTACTTATTTATATATTTATTTGAGTTAAGGTTGGTTGATATCACCACATGTGACTCAAAGGAAAAGGTTCATACCTCCTTCAGTTTGTACATTGCCACACCCCAAATTTATTAATTTATAATCTTGATTTGTAACTAAATATGAAATACATAAAGCAGCTATTTTATTGTTATTATCAATTCTGTATACCTTGAGACAATTCTCTCTGGGTTTTAAGTAATGAAAGTTATTTATTTATTTGAAGTGTTTCACTTGGAATATTGCCAAACTAGCTAACCAGCAAATTATCTTGAAAATATGATAGATTTAGGAACCATTTTCAAAATATTAAAATTTATAACTCACTAACAAATGAGCTATACTGTTATGAAATTACATTTTTAGATTTCCAAGATTTCTTCGAATAATTTTTAATTCACATTTTCAACAGCCACAACAACAATCAATCTATTCTACATACTATAAAAATGATTTCATGCTAAATTGTGACAAAGTAGAGATGGCTAATATATCAATTTTTTCTATTTCCATTACTCCTTGAGATGTTTTCTGAGAGATATGATAACAGGAACATAAAGTATATAGATCTTCATAATAGGAATATTGTATTCTCCTTAAGATTAATCTATGAACCAGTAGCAAAGAATGTAAGAAAACAGCAATATTTAAATGAAGAATTCAAAACCAAATGATTAATAAATAGTTGTCTACTGAATAATGAAACCTAAACTAGTCATTTTGAAATTTCTCTTTGGGAAATTCTTAAATAATTTGTGAAATAAAATACATTGTGAAATACATTTATGTTAAACATCTTTATATCATATCTGATGGCAAAAAATTCCAACTATATAACCCCAGAAGTTAAAAAACATATTATGCAAATGAGTTTAAGAGTGGACAGTAAGAAGGGATTCCATCCCTTCCCTCACCAAAACAAAGTTCAAATGATCATTTTCTCTTATTAAATGAAATAATATTGGAATTAAGTGTCACAATTTACATAAAGAAAAATTTACATAATACCAACAAGTAATTATTAGACATTTTGTTTCCTCAAAATTAATCTTTGGTTATGGTTTAATAAGTCTAATGTACCATCAAATATATTAAACCCTATTAAAAGCTTATATCTAAAAAAAAGCTGCCAAACACTTCTACAGAAATTTATATATTTTACCCTACAATCTAACTGTGAATGAAAATATTAACTTATTACTTAACAATAAACTGAAAAGAGCATTAACAGCACCGACAAAATAGTTGTATTTTAATTGATGAAATCAGCTCAGTAGACTTAAAATCTACATTAACCATGTATATACTAATTTCAAGACACAACCCTGTGTTTTACACCACTCTTAAAAATTTCCTATAAATGTGTACTACTTACAAGCTAAATAATTATCAAAATTTTGAGATTTTTAAATACTAAATATCTTAATAGATACATTGAAGAGTAAGCGGTAAAATATTTCACAAGTATTTACCTGTAATATAGGTTATATGTACTAATTTTTAACATATACATTTTTTAAAGTATTTTTACTGAATGATATTAACATGTCAGAATACTTTTATAAAGTCATTACCAATGACCAATTCATAAAATAAGATCATTTAAATCATAAGCTAACTTGAGGAAGTCAAGTGAAAACTGCCATTTCAAACCACTATGGTCACGCACCTACCTCAAAAAGCAAAACATCAACAAACTTTAAGACAGGGACAGGTCAGCACCTGACTTTCTATAGAGGAGTTGGTGACATTACACAAACTAGAAATTATGTAACAGAAAACTTACAGTACTGTTTTAAACACTTAATTCTCTTTACTGCATAGTAACTGAATTGCTCTTGATGTGTTCTCTGTAGTCAACATTTTTAAGAGAAAAAAATGTTATTTTAAGGAAACCCATCACTTAATTTCCTCAAATATACACTATATCTGAAATCTATTTCAGAAGACTTTTAAAAAATTCTTATAACACATGTACTGCTCTGAATGCAAAAAAAAGTCATATATTAAAAATGATTAAATAATGATGCAGTTGATAAAAATTCCTATCTATAGTACATATTCTTTCATAACAAAATAGCATAGAGACATAATGGGAAAAAAATCTAATTTATAATTATACATAAGCTGAAGTGTGCTTTTGAAGCGCTCACATAGTAAAAATGGCAGCTAAAATAATAATAATAATAAATACGTTAATTTTTACAAAAATCTTCTAAAATCGCAAACTTATGTATATGATGCTCACAAGATGCCTGTATACAACATTTATGATGTACTGTTATTACTTGCTGCTTGTCTAAAATCAGTGGGATTATTGCCTTCTTCAAAACAATTATTCATAAAATTTATATACAATCTATGTAAATATCAATATAAAACAAAATCCATTTATGTAGGCATCTAAGAAGAAAAAAAAGAATGTTAACAACTGAGACCCAAGTATTTTTCCTAGAAACAAACTGGAATATGTTACAAAAAAATACTGTAATCATCCAAAATTTCCCTAAAATATCACTTTCTAATTTTAAAACTAAAGATTATAATGCCCTATTTTTTTACATCACAAAAGGCTAATGCTTAATTTTTACTTTTTTTAACATACTTTTTTCTAAGAGATATCTCAATATAATCTTGCAAATGTGTATTTTTAAAGAAAACAGTACTATATGTACCATTAATACTGTTCTTTTATTAAATAATATGTAACAGAATAAGTCTAATATTAATGTTTGGGCTTGAGAAACTGTTATATATAAATAAAACTTTTCCAGCAGCCTATTAATTATGAATTCAGTTTACACAGGTTTATCAATATATAAGCATTATATAGTTTAAATTTGGGTGTTAAATGGCTTTAAACATTAATATTGGTTAAAAGGAAATCTAATATTTGAAAATATTAAAAGATAAACACAGAAAAAACAAATTATAATAAGGTGTGACCAGACAAAGAAGGAAAAGGCTACTTTTTTTCATTCATCTATAAAACAAATTTATGAGACCATAAAGAACAATTTAACAACTCAAAATCGGTTCAAAGCCGGGAAACCCAGGGCCTGACAGAAAATGGATTTGGTCAATGATTTCAGTCTACAGAAGAAAAAAAGCAGAAAATGTGGCTTCATTTTGCAATGCAATGTAGGAAGCATAAAATCAGTAGCCTGCCTGTGGGCTGCTATTTATGTATATAAACCCGGTTTCAATTCGCAGATTATGCTGATCCTTGCACGTGTAAACAACCAATAATGATGGCCAGGCCTTTAGGAAAGGAAAACACACCACACTGCAAGGTCAGGAAGCTACCCAGCACCACAGGACAACAGACCAAAACAGAACGGTTTCATGTGTTTCTATTGTTTATCTACTTAGTTTGAAGATATTCCTTAGGGGGTAAAAGAGGTTGTAAATAACCAGAACATGCAACACAGTACCAAATAAAATATATAATTTTCAGGCAGCTATACCATTTCCTGCTTGCATCTATGCCAGTCAACCTGTACTACTGATGGCCATTCATTCTTTTTTAACTTAGACCTGAAGACAAAATATACCACCTTAGTCTTAAATTTAAATACTTTTTCTCTTATCTATGAATTACAGAGAATTCATGTTTTTTAACTACTTTCAAAGGAAGCATCTGACTTATAAACTACACATATCCTTTTCACCATAAAAGAGATTAACAAGAGAGAGAAAAGCACAGCAGTATTATTTTTTTCTGGGTACAATTTTAAAAACGAGAAATAATGACATTCTGTTTGGCATCTAAGAATTTTTAAAAATTACATTATAAGATATGGTGGAAATTTGTCCTAAGTAGCAGACTAGCACATTTTAAATGCACTAACCAGAGCTGCCTCTGACCACATGTTTTTTTAAAAGTTGTCTCTTAAAGAGACAGTATCCTTGGGACTACAACCTACAAGGAGCACATTTCTAAAATATTTGATTACCAGCATCCTCTCTTACATTTCTTCAAGTCATACTCGGGCTACAATGTCGGTTTTTCTGTGAAATCGAATATTTAAGTGAATCTACAAATGACTATACTGCAGGTAAAGAAACACTAAGGAAAACTAGCCCAACTAGGATGTGTCTAAAATAAGAGGATCCACTTTTCCTATAGTAGCATATTGGTTCTTTTTAAACTTCAAATGATCACTGTTTCTTCATTCATTTCCACACTCATTCACCAGACACAGCGGCAGCATATGTTGTAACCGGTAACACCGGAAGGCAAACTACCGCAATTTCACTGTTGAATTAGTGAGAAACTTGCTACTACAGTGAACCAGCACGGAAGCAATGAAATTTCAAAGATTTAAATTTCTGTTTGGGCAAAGACACCCAGGAAGGGACTCATACACACATAACCTTAAAATTAGATTAGCTCATAGTGGGATGCAAGATCTAGTCTTTCATAGTGCACTTAAGGGACCTTATTGTTTGTGCATTGACAGAACTACTGATCAACTCCTCCACATGGAGAAAGGTGAAGGGGGGAGGGGGAGCATGGGAGGGGAGGTGAAAAAGTTTGGCTTACTTGGTGTACAAATACATCGACTGGAATATCCAAGGGGCTTCCCTCTCGATTTATCATGGAGATGAATCCAAATCCCATTCGCACATTGAACCACTTACAGTGGCCAGTTCCGTGCAAAATCTGGGATTCCTCCTCTGCCTGCTCTGGCAGCTTCCCGGGCTCTTCTCCACCACCTTTGCTTGCCCCTCCTGGTATAGAACAGGACAAAAAAGTCAGTTAGTCTTTATTCCCATAGAGTTCATTCAAATAGGAAAAAAAAATGTTTGAAGGGATGAAGGGAAAGAAAATAGGAAAAATCCAATGGTGGTTGGTGGTTGATTCCTTCCTTTCTTATACAGAAAATATTTATAAAGGGGTTAAAAGAAGAAGGCGCGGAGAGGGGGAGCCACACTATTCTATCGATCACATCAACTTTCATGTTTCTGTACATACATGTACTTTTCATTAAACTCCGTTTTTCAGCCACGTACTACAGTACAGCGTGCAATACTTTACTTGCGTATTGCTGATATAACACTGATCCCATTACTAAAGAATAACTTTCAGCGAGAATATTCTCTCCAGCAGGCACGAGGAGGAAAGACAAATCGTGAAGATGGTTAGAACTAGTTAATGTACATGCGGCAGCAGCGAAGACAGGGTTATTTGCAATGTGCATTCCCCTCCCCCCCAACTTTCAATTAAAATTGGGGTGGGTTGGGGGAGGGGGCAGGTGTATAAAAGTTTTCTTGGGTTCACAAACTGAAACTGCGCTTAATCACACTCAAACAATTCAAACAATAGCCCCCTGAAAGCTTTTCAAGTTGTGAATCAGTGTGGGCGGTACAAAACATTTTTGGAGATCTATAACAATAGGTTGCAGAAAGCCCCATTGCGAGATGGGGGGTGGGGGTAATGCCCAGTATTGGGGTAAAAAGGAAAGGAGGGACGGGCAAAGGAGGGTGGGCGAAGAGGAGGAGTAAGAGAAAGGTAAAGAAAATCACAGTAAAACAATAGAAAAGAAAATTAACCTTCGGCCATGTTGCCCCACGGGCCCTCTGCTCCAAACTCGTGAGATGAAAACTTTCCCTTTGGAACGGAGTGATCTTCTGCATCAATCTAACATCTTGATTTTGTGCGATCACAAATTTAGCTCGCATGGTCTAATGTGCTTTCCCTCTTGATTTTTTTTCTCTTCTCTCTCCAGTTTCTGGCCCCCTGAGCACACGTGACTTTGTCAATTACATGCTTTCTTGCTACTAATTTCACCTCGGATCCTTAAGGGGCTGGCAAGAGGAAGAGATAACCAATCGCCATTTCATCTATGCTGACACCAAAATAATTTATGAATGAACATGAAAAACTCGTGTTATCTTAAAGACAATTTGGGACGCTACTTTATGATAAATCAGAATGCTGATTTCGTGTTTCTACTTAAACACAAAGGAGGGTCCTTGCGAATCGTCGATTTAGAAAAAACGGCACCGTCATATACGTGCACACGCGTGCCTCACAAGCCAGTCTAAATCTCATTTAGGAGGAAATGCTATTTAAATAAAGCAACGATGTTACGCTTTTCTTCTCTTTAAGAATTCAGTGCTCAGTAGCAGTAAACCTGCTTGGGATGCAAATTTCATACTTAATTCAAATCTTAGAGGAAAATACATAATTTACAAAAGAGCTAATTAAACTAATTACATTCCCATAAAACTTTAGATAATGGCAACATACACCTTCAGCAAGACAAAATCATATAATTACCTGATGATGCCCTGGAATTTTTTCAAATTTAAAATCGTACCGGAAAAAATCCGCTATCACCTTCCTGTAGCCAAATTGTGTTTAGGTTTTATCATTTCGGAACATTTTCGAGGGGGTCGGTAAAGAATTGTACTTCACAGGTTTCTCCGCCATCTCTATCCCGGGAGGAGATGTGATTAATGACTTCCTAAGTAACAGCCCAGTTTCAAGCCCAACATAGAGTGAACCTCAATCAGTGGCAATTGTTCCCCAAGAGCAAGAAAGACTACGTAGGGCAGGCAGGGGGAGGGGAGCGCCATGCAGGGGAGGTGAAGAGGAGCCGCCACCAGAGGCGGCTGAAAAGCCAGAGAAAGGGGGTGGGGGTAGAAGCTGTGCGGGTAGGAGAGAAGGTTAAGAAAGAAGGAAAGCGGGACAAAAAAAGTAAATTCCTATCATAGTGACTGGACCCTACCATTTTAAAAGTCCACTACCAATGATTAGAAGAATCAAATAAATGAAAATTTAATAACGGATTAGGTTCCACCAGTTCGTTTTCGGCCCGCCCGCCCCCCAAATTCAAAAAGCTTACTTTTTACTCTGAGTTGGTTCAATGGATTGTCGATTGCTAAAATGCCAACAATATTACCGCCCTCTCGGAATACAATGAATATTAAATTTCAACTAGAAATTCTATATACAGAAAACATCACTGGTTTTTGAAACAGTAAGACTGCACCACCACTCTTCCCCCACCCCACCCCCATTTTCTTAAACAAGCAGTTTACCGAGAAACTGTACAGATACCACTTCCCTTTGGCAAAGCTACGGAGTTGACCCTCCCCCACCACACCCGCAATCCCCCTCCCCGTCCAAACTCCTAAAACTAAGACTGTTTCACACAAACTAAACTGTAGGGATCCTGAACCTAAAAGTCACTGACAAATCCACATAACCACCTATTTACACCTCCTTCCTACATTAGAAATATAAATATATACGAATTAGTTCAAGGCTGAAATAAATGGATGCATGTAAATGTTATTTTCGGTTGTTTGTGGTAAATGTCAATCAACACTGATGATTTTGGGGAAGATTCTTCCGGTTTATTTCTTTTGTTGTTTCTCAAGAAAGGGAGCTGAGTTTTCTCATTTTATTTATTTTGGGGTGGCGGTAGCTCTAGGGAGGGGGAAATGTTTAAAAAAAATCAAATGATTTTGCAAGAGTAACAAAAGGTTAAAGCTCTCAAAAAATTATTTGCTAACAAAACATTTGCTAAGCACTATTTTAATGGTAGAAATCCTCCTATTACAGTGACCTATAAGTAGTACCTTTATGGTGTTCCAGGTTAAACATTTCACATAATGTGAAATAGCAAAATTAATTTATGTGGTTTTAAATGAATTACTTCAAAAATCAACACCTAGTACAGAGAAAAACAACCTAAAAAACTATTCATGTAAACTGAGGAGAGTGTTATTATTTATGTAGAAGTGATTATCATAAAATTCACAGGCCAGTATAATTTGTTTTGTTAGGATATATTTATGGCAAGCAATATTTTACATGCAAGTTTGTGTTTAATTAGAAAATAGTTTAGTCATCATAAAATCAGAAACAACATGGTGGATTCTGAATGCTTGTTTATTGTTAAATTGGATGAAATTAGAATTTACCAATACACAGAAGACTGAACTACACTAGGTGGTATATTTATGAAATTTCAAATCTTGCCTGATTGGGGGCCTCCAGTATTAGTGGAATTAAGGTAAGGTTCACTGGACTGGTCACTGGTGTCAAAGGTTATCGACTCATTCATTTCCTGAGAGGGACATCAGCCTTTCAAGTTGTGTAGAAGGCTTTTTCCAACTGAGAACTCTGAGAGACCCTCTAAAACTCATTCACAAAGAATTTAAGGCAAATGTATTTAAATACCTGGGCTTGAGGTAGGGAAGATGAGGAAAGAGGAAGCAAAAAGGAAAAGGAATGAGTAGAGAAAGGATGAACCTGAAAAGGGAAAAAAGTGAAGCAAGGAGACACAAAATATCACTCACCAATTCAGGGAGATGCCTGTCCTTTAAATAGATTTCTCTAGTCTATCACCCCATCTTTTGAGCTCATCACATTTTTATAAAAGTGAGCATAATTTCTTTAAGCTCACAGAGTGCTTCTTTCACATAAAATGGTCCTATGAATCTCCTAGAATGCTTTCCAATTTGTCACCTTCCTGAGGTCTTCTGGTTTTAATTTTTTTCTCATTTCCGACTTGTTTTTAGTGCCAGAAAGACTTGTGCTTGACTCAAAACGCATGTTTTATACTTGTGAAAGCCGAATGTTTTAGTAGTGTGATTTATCATAGTTCTTTCAAAATGTCTTTAAAATGAGTTTAAGTGGCTACAAAGAACTGGCAACCCTCAAGAGGGAAGATGGGGGTGGTGGTGGGGAGTTAAGGAAATAACCTACCAACAGCCTGCTGGTTATCACAATCTTATGTTTTCTCCATTTAAACTCCGAAGTGTACACCATTTTGGTATGTCTTTTTTTTTTTTTAATTCCAGCAATATAATGTAAGGGTTCGAATGAGGTGCTAGAGCCCACAGTTGGCGTTTTCTAACTATAAGAATGGGTGACTTTTATCTAACCAGAAACAGTGCTTTGGTTCTTTTCAAAACTAGGAGGAGGGGCCGTAACACTGGGCAAAGGACTCCACCAGCGCGCTCTCCTCCCGACAAATAAGGCCGGGATCTGCAGCCCCGACTATGCTTTGGCGGCCACACTCCCCTCAGCCACCCCGCAGCTCCTGAACCAGAGTAGTCCAGACCCCAGGGCAGCTGATTTGCCCTCTCCCTTTCCCTCCAGCCCTGGCAATTTCCTCTCTGCTTTCTCTCTCCAGTCGCCTTTCCTTAATCATCATCTCCCCGTCTCTAGAAGTGAAATCTTACCAAAGAAGGTTGATTTCTCGCTCGTTAAGGATCTCCTATTTCCCAATTTGCCCCCAAGAATACCAAACAAAAGAAATCCTTGCCTTCACCACTGTGGCAGACATTTGACACAATCTATTGCTTTTCTAGACATGTCATTTAATGTTTAATCAATCCATAAAATGTCAGAGTCTCCAAAACCTAAGAAAAGTGAAGTCAAAGGGGAGCGAGATCCAAGGGACACCCGAGAAAATGTGCACCCCCACACCTTCACCGAGCTAGTCTAAAATGGAGCTATTTTCAGACAGACCTCTGACAGTGTCCTTTCGGGAAGCAAAGAAAACACATCATCATGATTTTTTGGAAGACCCAGAACAACCGCTGGCAGGAAAGGGGGTGGTGGGGCAGCCAGAGGTGTTTTTAGGGAGTCAGCATTCTGACCTCAGCTTGAGGCTTCCTGACTAAAAGCTGCAGGACCCTCACGTCGGGCAAATGGGTTCCCATTCCTTCCCCCTACTGAGTTTCAATAAACTAGTTGGCAAACAACTTTCTTGAAATTCTTACAGTACTGGTCAGATGAAAGGAGTGCTTCGCTGGAGCCTCAGTCTACAGTAGAGGACTTCAGTATATTAAGCACTTTGTTGTTGTTTCCAAAAAGCAAAATTCCGTTCTCATTTAATTTCCTCATATGGAAATAAAATTCTCTGGTTTAGCACAATTTTTTCAATTTGGTAATTCTTACAGAGCTGTAAAAACCTCTTTAAAATTTCCTTAAACACATTTCCCCAGGTATAATTAAATAAATTTATAGAAATACAGGAACTGAATAGTGTCAATTCTACATTTCCCAGACAGATTGTCTTCATGTTTAAAAATGCAAACATAGGCAGATTTGTCTGACTGGTCAGTTATGTCTAGGCAAAATAATATAGAGAAACAAAATTAGTTTGGAAAAGAAACATTAAAACCACAATTTAGTAGGAAGTTTCTCAAAAAAAAAAACTGGGAAAAAGAAAAATACCACATAGTTTCGCTCATAGCAGGAGTATAATGGACCAGGCAAGAAAATAATAAGAATAATATACCAGAGACATTTTGTGGGGGTGGAGTGGGGAGTGGGATCAAAAATAGGGAGGAGGGATGGAAGTACACAGACTATGGTGACAACACGTGGGTGACTTGGTGATGGGAAACCCAAGGAGATTACAATTGAGATGAAAAAGAAAAAATGTACAAAATAATGTAAAAATAAACTACTATATTATTTAAAAAAAAAAAACTGGGGAAGAAAATCCTAGTCTATAAACATTCTTCCCTCTCGGTGAAAAAGAAAGGTAAAAAATTTACCACTCCTTACAAATATTTTCACAAGTGTCCTTAACAAATATCCTCTTAAGTGATTTTCATTAGAACAGTAACAGGTTAAAAAAATCATTCAATTATAAACATTACATTACTTTGCCCAGAATAACACAAAGGGAAGTTTCATGTTTTCTTTGAAAAATGAGTATTTTCCAAAGATACAGTAGCAGGGTTCTGGCGTGCCCTGCTCCCTGCCCTGTAACCGTAGGGCTTGAGCTTCATAATGAATCTACAGAAACAGCACTAATGATGTAAATATACAATTCCTGCCCTCCCCCGAAGCAATGAGTAGAAGTTTATTCTTTAAAAAGCAATTTCTTCAAAACAAATAATGAATTTAAATAAAAGAATGGATTGCTTCACAAGTATTTATTTGAATATTTGTACTCTGGTGTATCTAGGAGAAGGAGACAAGTAGATGGAAAAAGGGGAGGACAAGAACAGTGAAGTAAGAGATGAGACCAGTGGGAAGAAATTTTCAAATTTTAAAAATGCCTGTGTTAGAAGCAAATCTGTGGAGAAGGATCCAATTAGAAAGTGGAGGGCAGAGCTCTGCTCCCATTTACTGATCTGTACTAATAATCACTAAGCTTCTCTAGGGGCTCAGTTTCCTCATCTGCAAAGTGAGGAAACAGGACCAATTGTTCAAGTCTTTAGGTTTAAAAGTAATCTCTGGAAATAACCTTGTATTTGGTGAAAGTGGAACCCCTTTTAATCACAAGGAAACACAGACATGAAACTTTATTGCAGTCACTTAACACATTGGTGTTAACATTATTTCCCAACAGAAAAGAAAAAGGTCTCCTGGCTGCCTCCAGGTTGCCCTCAGAAAAACCACAATCAATAGTAAGGGAACTAGTAAAAAAAGTGTAGCAACTTATCACAATCTGTTTCAAAATACTCAGTAGAACATCATCTCCAGGTCAAAGGATTCACTAGGAAAAGGAAAGTGTCTGTCAAAAGGCAATGCCTATTGGTGATTATATAACCTCCTTAACCCTACTTGCTACTACAATTCTATATTTGATAAGCTTAACAACAGAATAACATACTTTACTTGTACTTACTGAAACTCATTAACTTGTATAAGTCAGTTCTTTAACGTGTTTACAAAGTCCTATTTATCCAGAGTAGAGCCAAGACATTAAAATCATCAGAACATACATTGATAATCCATTATTACTAAAGAAAACAATGAAAAAATAGTGTTCTAATTTTTAAGTCTATCTCAATAATATATGAAAACATTCATATATCCAAAGTTTAGGCTTTACAGTAAATCTAAAAAAAGGAAAGTAAACAAAAATGTCTAAGTTAAAATAAAGGTACAGAGGCCTTCCTGGTGGCCTAGGGGTTGTCACAGCTCTATGACCATTATGGCCTGACCTCTCCTGTCCTGCCCTGTGTTCCCCTTAGCAGTGTGTTTCAGTAAAATCCTCCTCTTCTGCTCCCCATTCTGTCTCTGGTGAATCCTCTCATTAGGTCTGACATACCTCTTCCTCTCCCTCTCCCTGCACCTCTGGCCAACAACCCACTTCTTTTATGTAAGAAAAAAAAAGATTTAAAATGTTAAATGTTCAAAGCACTCATTTTGCAGCATAAAGAAAAAATAACACGTTTATGAAAAGAGAAACAAATGAAGCCACCCCTCAAGATTAGAGAAATTTTGGGATTCCTTGAAAAATATCTCCTATGTTGAAATTTTTGTTACAGGAAATTATTTTAAAGCAGCACCAAGGCTTTATCTTTGAGTTAATTCAATAGGTATTTGAATACCTATTTTCCTATCAGTCACCAAAGTAAACAATCCATCAATAACATTCATTCAGCTATAAAAGTATTTAACAACCTATTATCTATCCTGCTTGAGTAATGGAAAAGAGAATCACAAAATCCAATACTGTTAAAATTAGAAGAGAAGGGGTTAATTAGTGGATTCTGGTAGGTGTTACAAATAAGTAACCTGGAGTGTGGTAGGATACGGTACCCCATCTTGCCAAAGTAAAGAATTCCTAAGTTTCCTCATATGCCACTGGGGATCTTTTTAAAATATAGTTGAGTAAAACATATAATTTAAAAAAAAAAAAAAAGACTAACCTGGGGCTGATGAAACCTGGTTGAATGACCTCATCGTCTTCTGAAGAACCTAAAATCAGAGAGCTCAAGTCAGTACTACATTAATTGGCTATTTAATTGCCTCTTCTTCAGTTTAATGGCTTATTAGAAAGCAATAAAATACCTAGGTTTTGACTGTGTGAAATGACCTGTAAATTTTTTTTTTTTCACAATTTAAGACTCACCTACCAAATTAGATAACCACTGGCATAAACTTGCCTTTCATTCCTATTAAAGGACATTGACTTTAAAAACACTTTAAATAAGACCATTAAAAGGATCCTGATTTCATGAACAAAGCAATTTTAAATTCTTTAATATTTAATCTTACACTGTAATCCAAGAATCCCATAATTTAACCATTTTAAAAATCAACTGAACTCAGAAGATGGTGTTTCTTCAATTTATTTGAATAGTATCTCAGATATGGCGCAGAAGATAATATCACGAAAATCTAATTGTGGTGCTACTGATATTGGGTCCTTCATTACATTCAAGTACTTTGAGAAAAATTAATGGCAATACACTAAAATATTAAGTACATTTAACTAAAAGTACCTAATCTGCATTCATTCAGATTTTATAAAGCAGTTATCATTTAAAAATACAAATGAATTTTGAAGTCTCTAATATACCTGTATGAATTTAATATTCGTGCTGGCAGATATCACAACAAAATAAGAACTTACAATGAAGAGGTCACCCATTAATGCAGTCTAGCAAGTGGAAGCGAAGCTCCTGATGGTCACTGAGCTATTTTTATCTTCAGGTCATTTATTAAGGTTTGATAAATAGATTGATTTGAACATGCATCCACTCACCTGCTACCACCTAGGGTTGTCTTTCTTCCCTCAATTAAGTTTTACATGCTATATCTACTATTAACAACTCATGAGAAAGAAATCATTATGTGTAAATTCTTTAAGTTGCAATCTAATTTTCTTCTCAAAATGAAATGGAGGCTTTTCCAACTGCAGAATTCTACTGAATTTTGACCCAAGATTCTTCTTACAAAGGATGACAATCCCACTGAGTAAGATTCGAAAAGAATAGAGGAAGAATATGAAGAAAAGCACATGAACCTCTGTACTTTAAACCCCTCAATCATCCTATAGTCACAACCAAAGGACAAAAGACATGATGGATACTAACATTAATAAAACTTTTGAAATAGTTCTCTTTTGGGGCCTTCCTGGTGGCACAGGAGTTAAAGACTGCACTATCAAGCTATCGCCAGCCACTGCCTCGTAAGTTTGATCCCTGGCCAGCAAAGTAGCTATCCCACAGGGCATAGCTCCTGTCTCGCCCCACTGTTCCCCTCAGCAGTGTATTTCAGTACATCTGCCTGTTTTACTCCCCGTTCTGTCACTCTGTCTCTGATGAATCCTCTCACCCTCCCTCACCCCCACCCCAGTTCTTGCATGTATAAATAAATAAATAGTTCTCCTTTGCACTAAGCATACATTGTCTTATTTTTACATTTGGGTTTTGTGAAGTGTATTTAACTTTATATATAAATTTTAGGGAAACCCTAGCTTATGTTTTTCTACTCTAATAGCACACAGGTCATGCTTGATCTTATTTATCTGCTTATATTTATAGAAAAGGAGATGCAAACATATCCTAAAGATATATAAAAACAATGGGGTATATAAAAAAAAGTCCTTCAAGTAATTCAGATGATAAATGTTAGATTTAACAGTGAAAATCAAAAAGGCTTACGAAAGTGAGTTAAACAAGTATGAAGAGTTCTATCTTCATACTTTTCTGTTTAAAGAAAGCCACGTTTGAATGATAGAGATTTTCATATTTTTCACTAACTCAAACTTACATTTTTTATTATTGATAGTTTTCATATCGTCCCTTTCAAAGGAAAGATTGATTTATTTCAGGTATTAATATATTTTACTCAATGTTAAGTTAGTATTCTAAAACTTTTCAGGAAAAAAAATAGGAAAGGGATGAAGTAAATGTTATATAAAATACTTAACATTAATTTTCATATTCTTTTATAAAGGAATAGATAACTTTTTGAAAGGAAATAATAATTTAAAAATTATTTAAATACTGAATACTCACAAAACACCTATTTGTAACTTTATACATGGGTGTTTTTATTTAATACTACAACCTTGGGTGAATATTAGAAAATAAAAATCTCAAACTGTGCCAGAATACATACACCTCTCTGCCCTTTCACTGCAATAACCCATCATTTAAGACTTCATTTACACATCATTTTCTTATTGCTACATATTAGAGTGCAATGCTGCTACCATATAATACTGTAGTATAAATGACCAAAATAGCCCATGAAGATGTTCTTTCCCAACCTGACTTTACACTCTATGGCAGCACATATTGCATATATTTTACTCACCATTGTTTCCTGGCATTCTTTAGTACTTATTTTCTTCATAAATCAATAACAGAATTACAAACCTGGATTAACTCTGTGATACCTTGTACAAACTTATGGGCTTATATACAAATTTTCCTTAGAAACCATCTTTTAATAAAAAGAGACTATGTATGACAGGCAATTAGTCATTTGATCATTACAAATATAAAATGTATATAACATATAGTGATTTTGATAATCCAATTTTAAGTATATGGGCTTACTGTAATAAAAGTGCCTACCTTATAAACACTAGCCATTACAAACACTAATAAATTTCCTATTTCCTCCTATTAAAATATATATTAACAGTCTTCTCAAGTACTTTAACTTGCTGTTGATCCACTATTATAGCTGTTCAATGTAAAGAAAAATCATTGCTACTATTACATGGTATGGTAGCTATAATTTATTAAAAACTGCCAAGCCCAGAAAATAAAAATGAAATACCACTCATTGCACAGTATGACTCAGAATTTTATTTCAATTTACACCATGTTAGCTTTTAATCCTCATATTAACAAAATGTGAACATTCCTTTAAATGGGCAAAAAAATTGATTTAACAATCAGTAAGATTTAACAAAATAAAAAGAAAATTATTTCACTTCTCATCACTATAATTTATCAACGTTTTGAAAAATCTTTAAGATGAATTACCTTATTATCAGTGCTTTTAAAGTAATGTAAGTGGTAAGTACATCACACAGTTGACTTAATGAAATATTCACATTATGGTTTATAGCAAAAATTCTATTTACAATATGTCTTAACTGACAGAAAATTAAATAGATTCTCTGCAAAGGAAAGTAGGCAACAATGTGCCTTTTCTTTCTCAGAAGACTAACTGGGGGTTTTTAAATGACCCTTCTTAAAATCATATAGCAAAAACCTATACAAATATGTGAGCACAACACTTATTTACATTTACTGTAACTTAATATAACAGATACACATATAAGACAAAATTCAGTTGTATAAATTCAACATGGAAATATTCTTTCTTTACACTGTTCTCTAACATTATATTTAATATATATTGAAACCCTTCACTACTTTTTTTTGCAACTAATAGACTAAATTCAAGTCCTAAAAGCAAGATTAGGATAACTTATCTTGCAATTTAACTCACCACCCTGCTGTAATGTATCACTGAAAATACTGTACCCTTTATTATATAGATACAGAAAATTTAAAGAAAATAACCTTTAAAAATCAAAGTAAGAGTTCTTTGCATATGGCTACACAGTAGAAAAATCATAGGTATTGGAGTGCTGAAGCAGGAAATTTCACATTTAGTAAAATATTTTGAACATCACTTTGAGCCATTACTGTAGGAAATACTTTAAAAATTTATGTTTTTATATTCATAAAGTAAATTATAATACATTTTCATTTTCTCAATTACTTTACGTAAATACTCAATCTTAGAGATTAATATATTTTATACTGCTGAAACAGAAAGATAACTTCTCAACCATTTTACAAATGGAAGTTTTATTGGTTTTACATAAGAAATGGGCAAATTTAGAAATATAGAAAATAATAATTTATTCTAGAAAATAAAAAACAACTTTAGTCACTTACAATTTAAGTCAACTGGCATATTATCAAGAGTGCTGAAAAGCACTGATTATGACACAAACATTATCCGGCAAACAAATTCTTTACCTTAAATATGAATGCTGTAATACAACTGAGTCAAAGCACAGTTCATTTTGCTAATGTACTTTCCATTATATGAAACAACAGTTTTATACAATAAAGCTCATAGTTGAGTTAATGTTTAGGTCACATTAAGTAGGACAAAAAAAAAAAAAGAACAAAGCAATAGTGGCTTTAGATTAAAAAGAATGAAAATAGTGGTAAAATTTCTATCTTGAAGTTTATTACATATTTTGAAGGTCTACATACCTTTAACATTAAAACTTAACAGTAGTTCCTTGGTATCATAAACAAAATTAATTCTAAGTAAACCTGAATTCTCCTATTTCATTTCAATGTTAGTAAGAAAATTTTATTTGACATACATTTCAATTTTAAATATGCAACAATGTTAATGGTTTAAAAATTATCACAAAAGTAACAACTGATTGAAAACTTTAATGTTTTGAAAATAGTTTCAATGAACATTTCAATATAAAAAAGGTGAAGAGATGTTTTAGGGGCAGTTCATCTTCATATAACTGCCAGTGACCTAACAGGATGACAAATGTAATATTAAAATTTTAACTAGCAGTAGATTATACTGAGACAAATTAAAAAAGAAAATTTATGTATTTTTCTAAAATATAGTTTAGTTTGAATTAACAATTAAAGTATTTTTAACCTAAACAATGTAAAACATTTTCACTGAAATATTTCTCTCATCTAGAAAAAAAGTTATATGAAAGATGAGTTTGAAAAATAGAAAAGTACCACTCCAGTTTTTACATTCTCAAATAGTCTAAAAGAAATGCTCATAGGAAACTATCTAGAAAATTTGAAACATATTTTTCCACCATTAGAACTGGTCAGGCAACCCTTTTTCTCTATAATTAAGCTTTTGTTTAGCCATAAGAAAATTAGAAACTGATTGCTTGAAAATGAGCTGCATGCCCTCTGTCCTGGTTTGTCACCTTTGAC